AAAAAATTGTTTGCTTTTGGAATCCAAGGGTGGGTCTGTACAAAAAAAAAAAAAAAAAAAAGTGAGAGAAATAGTATCGATAGCGCATTTCACACCCAATCCCGGAGTTACTTTTACACGTGACCTAGTTGAGTATTGGGTTAACATGTAGGTTTATTTTCGAACCTCGTTTTAAACTGTTCGGCTTGCGCTCGTTTATCAATCAAACGAAAAATGAAATTTTTGAACAGTATAAATATCACTAAAATGGTGTGTATTTATAGAGAAAGATGCATTTGTCCCCAGTTTTTTCATATCGGGATATCATGTTTTATTTATTAAAAAGTTAAGTTTAACCAAAATTAATAAAAAAATCGTCTTCCTTCAATCGAAACCACTTAAGATGATTTTAGCAAAAAAAAAAAAAAGAAAAAAGGGGCTATTTTAGGTTATGTAGTGCGTGTAAGATAAATATTAATATTATGTTATTAATATTTGTATTTTAATTTACAAGGATCTCCAAGATGCCGTAGGAGTTATGGCGTTAGTAGGGTTAGTGTCCCATAATGATGGTAGTGTTCTTGTAGTTGAGAACTGTTTCAGAAAAATGGAATTATTGTCATCTTTACTATTTCCGTTTCTGGCAGGATACAGGGTAAGTAAGTTAACTATTTCACTACTTTTATAACGTTAGGTAAACCATATATTAATAATGTTACTTTTCTTTGATCGACATTTATAGAGAAACAAATAATTTTATTTTACGTTCTACATAATATAATTTTATCTCTAATAACAGAATGATTAAGAAATGATTTTTGAGCTTAATTTGAGAGTGGTTTTTTTTTTTATATATATCAACATTGGTCATTCTACAAACTCTTTCTGTGGGTACTCTATGTAAAATCCTTGTTAATAACCCGGTAGCAAATTTTCTCTGTAATACATAATACGCTGTTACATAAGCAAAAATATATTTTGTTTTGTACCGAATTTGATCTAGCTTTAAACGGTATCTTTACTTATAGCAAATAGCAGCAAACGACAAATCGTGCCTTTTTTTTTCTTTATAAGTGCCCTAATGGCCCGGCATGGCCAGGTGGTTAGGACGCTCGACTCACCATCTGCGGGTCGCGGGTTCGCATCCCCATCCCACCAAACATGCTCGCCCTTTCAGCCGTGGGGGCGTTATAATGTTACGGTCAATCCCACTATTCGTTGGTAAAAGAGTAGCCCAAAAGTTGGCGGTGGGTGGTGATGACTAG